TTTTTTATAAATAACTAATCAAAAATATAAAATATTATTGAATGAAGTCAAATAATTGAAGTCTATCAATATAAAAAAAATCAATTGATTATTGGTGACTTAAACGATATGATATTGTTAATATTGACAGAGAAGAAAAATTAATACTGGGTATTTATACCAACTTGGTATAAAACAGGAACAATTTCCCAAATTTTTGTTCTGAATAAGTTTACTTTATGTGAAATTTATTTCTCTATTGCAAAATTGTTTAGAATTTGCAATTATAATTTATATATAATTTAATATATAATCAAGTTTAAATTTTTTTTAAACATTAAACTTATATTTCTAATTATTTAAATAAAAATAAATTTGATACTAATTAGGTGTGAACTTTTTTTTTTGGTATTTAAAAATTATAATATAAGAAATACATTACATTTTTAAACCTTACAAAAATATATTATTAATACATAGATACTATAAAAGTATTTTGCAAAATTTATCATTTAATTCTATTGAATCTTTTTATAAATAATTGTTGACAACTTTAAATATTAAATATATTTATATATATATATATATATATATATATATATATATTTGTCTTAAAATAAAATAACTTAAATAGATTTAGTTTAATATTACTTATCCGTATATTTTAATGTGTTTGTTAGTTTTTTGAAATTTTCTCGTAAAATTGAATACTGTAAAATTACAAAAATAGCGATTTAAAGTACGTTTTATATCCAATTTTTAACCTATATTAAGAGGTTGTTAAAATCTTACAAAGTAACCTTGATTTAGAAAATAGCTTATATAAAATTTAAAAAATGTACATCTTTATAAAACTAATATGTATTTGGTTTGCTCAGAGTTTAAGATGTGTATAAACATCCGCTACAATTAGCAGTCACATTAGAAACATAATGTTATATCTACCAACTATATGTATGTTATGTAGGTATATATTATAGAGATATACTTTAATTTCGAAAAAAAATATTATTCAACACTAAATTAAAATTGGCTGCATATGTTACTTTTATTTAAAATTTAAATATATTCTTATAACTAATTATTATTAAAAATAGCACTATACAATTTTTAAGTTAGTTTTTTCTCAATATCATGTGTTTGTGAATTACGAGTATTTTGTTTTTTATTTACTCAACCATTTTATCTTTATATAATCGATTTTAAAATACTTAATATTACTATAAAGCGAAATAGTGGTAGTTGGACAAAATGCAACCAGCATATTTCTACACAAATAAGAATATATTTAAAAGTAAATCGATTTTATTTATCATACAAATTAATATTAACCAAATATTTGAATACTATTTTGAATAAACTTTAAATTTGTATCTTAAAAATTTACCTTCATTACTTAAAAGGTATGCTACATTAAATTAAATTATTTATTTACTTATTCACTTATATCAATAATTTTAATGTTATGTATATTATTTACTTTAGTTTAGCAAAATGTAAGAAAGCGTATAAAATACTAATATAACTAACCAAACTAGTTTTATTAATTTATATCTTGTCAATTACTATTGTAAGTTATAATTTGTAACATTATTTGATTATATTCGAATTGAAACACTTAAAAAAAAAAAAAACTTCATTTACTATAACGTTGTTTCTAATATTTTAAAACTTCTTTTATGCTTTAAATATTACAGATAATTTTGTTTTTACTATATTTTGCTTTGTTTTTATTTCTATATACACGTAATTAGAATATAGAGGCAATAGAATGCTCTCTTAATTGACGAAATATATGATATAGCTTACGAAGCATCATTCAATGGACAACGGAGATACAATAGTACATAAAATTGTATATTTTATAACTTCTTATTTGATGTACCTAGTGATAATAAAATTACAGATAAGTTGACAAATGTGACAAAAGTTTATATATCCACTTAATCTTATCTCTTTGACGACATTTAAAGACAAGACTTTAAAAAAGACAGACACTAGAGGTTTTCTTTGTAGTAAAGTCATACAATCGTAATAGTCCAATCTCTCATTTAATTTATCAAACATTATCTAAATAATTTATTTTGACGTCGTAAAATAAGAATTTTTTTTTAAAAGCATTGTTGTATGCTAGATTTTCTAAACATTAAAAAATGTATTAGTTCATAATCTTCAAAAAAAAAAAAAAGTTAAGCAAGAAAATCAAAAAAAAAAATGAATGAATTATCTGAGTCTCAGGCCAAGCAAAATTTTAAGTCCAATTTGCTACTCTGATTGTATCATTCCTTCTACCGTAAAGATGTTCACAGTATTTGTATAAATTATTCATAACCGTTATCTATCTATTAAACTAAAATTTAAAATAACTCTAGTTAGAAACCATTATATTGGTTAATGGTTACTCATATATTATTTCTATGCAAAAATATATAGAATATTAGTGTAAATATAAATTCAATTATTTTATTGAATTTAAGTATGTGGTTGTATTTGCTTATGTTTCTTTATTGGTTTTGTACAATTTTTTTCTAATGAATTAAAAAAAAAAATCATTAATATTTAAAATATATTGTTCATCATAGAATTTATGTTCAATTTTAAATATGATATATATCGTATGGTTACTTTTTTACTGCCCTAAACACATTTACCTAAAAAGAAAATAAATGTAATAATATAAACTCATTATTTTGCATCAATATAGCTATGTAAGTGTAATTTGAAATTGAGATATCTTTTAAATATAACATTTTATGAGTATTTTTACCTCTAGAATAGACTTTACCAAGTTCATTTAAAATAATTTAAATAATGGTTTTTTGCTATGTTATGAAATTCTTTAATTTAATAATATATTTTTTTTAAATATTTAAATTCTGTTCTACTAAATTATATGTATTTAATATTATATATTTATTATTGTATATATATTTTTTTTATGTTATATTTATTATATTGTATATTTTTGGTATTAAAATTCTCGAAATAAATATTCTCTATTTTATGTTCTCAATATTTCTCTATATTTATGTAATTTAATTTTTATTTATAATGGTTGTGTAATGCGAGTATTTAAATGCAATGAATGGGTTTCATTACGATTATTTATATTCAAGTTTTTAAGAGCATTTTATGGTTAGATGAATAGTTTAAAAGTTTATCCAATAAATTTACTTCAGGTTATTGTTTAGTATAAAAACTTGAAACTTATATTTATATTATGTATAAGTAGTATAAATTAAAATCATTACTACTTATGAAAGTCGATATAATATCATCTATGGATTTTGTTAAAATATTAGTAATTCTATTAAATGTAAAGTAACTGTATATAAATACATTTTTTTTAAATTATTTTATTTTATTACATTGAACTTTAAAACTAAACAAAAGAAAAGCTCATGATTAAATTTAAATTTTAGCTACATAGTAACTTCATAAGCATAACTACAAATCAATATAACTTTTCTACAAAGAAACTTTAATGGTCATGATTGGATTATTGCAAATAACTAGATCGACGCGAAAATATTTTATACCTAAGCTCTTCCAAGCTCTTTTTATAATCTTATAATTTATAAATATTTATCCATTATGATTTTTATTAAATATTTGCATATTTAAAACTATATATCACACAATAATTTTCCTTCAAAATTTCTCTGACGACTAAAATGATAATATTGTTATGCGATTTTACCATGTTTTTATTTAAAAAATAAATCAAAAAAGAAAATTCCATTTAAAAATTCTTGAAATTGTTTTAAAATTACTTTGATATCATAGTTTAAAAAGGGAAAATATATTATTGTTTTATATTATGTATTTAGATTTTTGATTTAAATTACTTTGATAGTATCAAACATTTTTATTTTACTAAATGATTTGCAATTTAATTATTTCAATTAATCTAAAAATAAATAGTAGTACAACATTTGAAAATCATTTATGTATGTTTTCCATATTGCTAACGTATTTTATTTTTCAGAATAACAATAAATTAGTTTGTATTCTTTCTATAATAATATTACATTACATAATATAATATTATGGTTCTTAAATATTTATATGGGTGTAAAGCTACTAAATTTACATTAAACAGCTCATAGAAATAAAAAGTTATACGCATAAAGTGGTAGGTATATAATTATACCAAGTTATACGTTTTCTTTATTATTTCAGTAGATACGAGTATTAATACAGTTATTATGACTATTAATGTTGTTTTATCAACGGCAGCCCAATGTTTTTTTAGGTGCGACAAATAAAACCAGTTTTATTGAAAAATTATACTTATCACACATTATTTGACGATTCATATTCTTATTTATGTTATAACATTTTGAAGTGGGGATTATTAAATGTCACTACCGATTTAAAAAGTATATAAAAGTAAACAACTGCATTACCTGGCTAATACACTCGCAATAATAATTATTCGAAATGTTTCTCACTTTTTTTTTATTTCTTATAAATCACGCTAATGTGCTTCTATTAGGAAAAAATTCCATTTTTTTTAGAGCAAATTGTTAAAAAACTAATAAAAGCTAATGGTGATCAGCACGAATTCAACTTGTAAAAAACAAAATGAAAATTGCATTCGCGATATATAATAATAATAATAATAAAAAGTAAATAATATAGTGTAATTGATGGATTCAAAAATTAAGTTCATACTACAGTTGCTGTGAATATTTCGCAATAGTTTAGTGTCAGCGTTTTGGTCGGAACTTTTTTTGTATCACTGAAATCGCATACATTGTTTTGTATTAAAATATTTACAGGCCCGTGACGTTTTTGACGGGATCATAAAAAAAACTGAAAAAAAAAACCAGTCTAGATACATAATTTTGTGATAATAATAACCATGATAATACAATTTTGCATTGTTAGGTATAAAAAAAGTTGCACGAAAAAAAAAACACATTGGGTGCGAACACGTGTGCTCACCAGGCGTCGTTGCGGGCGTCTGGCGATGTACCCTCGGCGGCGGTGCCAATTAGCGGCCGCCCAGAGCGCAGTCTGCTTGCGCGCGTTGTGGTCCACTCGGAAAACGTTTACAAATAAAAACAAAATTAAAAATTCACCATTAAAAACGTATTGTTCGAGATTAAAAGATTTCGTCGTCATAATTATTGTTTTCTTTGAAACGGCTAGCTATTCAATTGGTGTAATTGTAATATTGTATTATATTATACGTTATATGCGCTGGTACCACCCAGATTTGGCTGGGGACGATCTCAACGGTGCGACTCCTGTTAACTAATCCGCGAATAGACGGTGATTTCAACAGTACGCGATATTGATATCGATAAACGAGCTCGGTTAGCACAACACATATTAGTGAAATAATATTTGACAACACGTAACGCGTACGCAACGATATGTTTACCGGTGAGTCCACCGCATCGGCCGATCCGTTCCGACGTCGCCATCGGATGTCATACCACGGTAACCCGTGATGGATACGTGTCCTATACCACGACATCAGAATCATGTTACCGAGTCGTCGTTTGAACAAAACTGCTCGCACGTATTTTGCAATTGTTGCCGCTGCTGTCGCCGCTATAGTCGTTTTTCGAATTCCGAGTAAGTGATTCACAATTATTATACATCATAGTCATCTCATAATTATTGCCATCATCGTCATTTTTATAATGTGTTACATTTTACCTATTACCTATTTACCTTACAAAGTAAATAAGGGCAAAATTCTTAGTCTTAGCCTCTGTCTAAAAACATCGACAAAAAACTTACGAACGACTTCGTGTTGAAATTGTTAAGTAATTTAATTGTTATTTTACAATTTTCCGTAATGATACACTAATATACGAATATTATTAAGTTCGTGATTCATGAGGCATATTTAAACCTCGCGTTAATACCTTTTACTCATCCGAAGTAATATTATAATAATGGTATTGAGTTCAAATTCAATTGTTTTGAATTGTGAAAATTGCTCAATTTATTGCTTACACATATAACGTAATATTTGTAAATAATAAAAGCAGTTTTAAAATATTAGTAGACTAAAATACGATTCTAAAATTATCTATATCTGTAAATCAAACACCATAATATTTAAAATTATATTAAATATTAACCTATATCTTGGGTGACTAATTATAACGTGATTAATTAATACTTGAGCCACTGTTTTAAGAATTGTATCAGTAATTTCATTTACATTTTTTATGTTGGAGTTTGAATATTGTAATTTAAAATACAATTTACTATAATAAATAGACACATCTATAAATCGGGACTACTCACTTATCAATAACCGAATACATGAATTTCTGATGCTATTAATTTACTGTTATCCATTGATCATATATACATATGAAGCTTATATGTAATATGATGTTTTTTTTATTTTCATTTAAATTTCAAATTGTTTTTCATGGGATAAAGTGAATATACGTATTAAAACAAATAAAAATTTGATATATATATATTATTGAATATTAGAGTGGATGTAAAATAAGATTAATCAAATGCAATTTTTAAAAGTCAAAGTCTAAACGTTAAAAAAACATCAGAAGTAGCAATATAAATACTTACATAATATGAAAATTAAACATTTGTCTTCTTTTATATAAAAGTAGTTAATTGTTTTCACGATAGTCATTGATAAATATGTTATCTATAGTTTTATACAACTTTTAATTTTCTAGGTAAATTTACTGGAAAATTACCGGCAGTATTATAATTTTATTGATACTTAATGTTTCATTAGTATAATTCGATGAAATAATTAAATATTGGTTTTAAATATTTAGCTTTTTATTTGTATAATAAGAAAAGTTGAAACATTAAGACTTTATAAATATTCAATTTTATTCTATATTCGATTTATAAAATATAATTAATGGTATTTTTGCTAAAAAATTTAGTAAAAATTACTATTTCTAATAATTTTAATTATAAATAAATATAATACTAATAGGTTCATATAAAGTGAAAATGAAATAAAAAGTTTAAAGAATTTAAAAAAAGTTATAATGCTGAATATTTTATATTTTTAAATTTATAGCCGAATAATTAGTAAAAATATTAATTTTTGTAGTGTTTAATGTTATTTATTATGTATTGATCATAATTGTTTTGATTGGAGGATAAACATGTTTATTTTTTTTTAATATGTGGATAAAACACATTATTAGATATTTTCTGGTAAAATTAGTGTACAATTTCCAGAATATTTTTTAGGATTTTTTAACCATAACCTATTTTGGTTTCTCACTTGTAACTATAATTTATTTTATCAAAAAAATCAATCGTAAATATTTATAAAAGCATTAAAGTTTAAATTTGAATGCATCTTAAATTTCAATATTCAATTCTACCATAATTTTTTACTAAATAATAACAGTAATAATAATTATTAATTTGAATATTTAAAATAATATTACGGCTTCAATTGTAAATACTATTAGTTAGATTATTTTCGTATAATGTATAAATGTTTAATATATTCGTTCTATTTATAGTATAAGATATTGAATAGTTTTATTCATAATAGAGTTTCAAAGAATTATAATTTTATATTAAATGTATTTTTGTATTAAAGTTTTGACATTAAACAATTAAACACACATATAAGTATATTTAGAATAAATAATACCATGCAGGTTAACTATGAAGATATTTTTATAAGTTAAATACGTCAAATAAAATTGTTCATTCGTTTATAAAATCAGTTTTTTGTCAGTTCAAATAGCTTAATATTGTATTTTTGTTGAAGAAATTCGTAAAAATAGGCGTGAGTCTATACTTTAAATGGATCAGATGTTTTAATTTAATTTCAAAAATAGTATTTATTTCTACACGTTAAAAGTTATATTTGATGTAAGTTGTTTACATAATATCACGTAATTATGAATTATAAAAGAAAAAAATGTCACGAAATAGAGGCCCACCTAAAGATGGACATCTAAATATATATCGCAATAAACGCATACCAGAAGGAAGAAAATATTTCCTATGTTCTTTTATGAGACTTTATTAATTTTCTTTTTAATTTAATTTAAACTCATTAATTAAGTACAATTTTAATTTGATAATATTAGAAAAGTATTTATATCGAATAACTTTGTGCTTGGTTAGTTAATTTAAGTGCATGTAAGAATTCTTATACAAAAGATGTGATATTATGATAAGAGAGTTTAATAATACTTTAATAAACTTCAACACTAAAATATAATTATACATTTAAGTTGATATAGTGAGATTTTTCTAAACCATAAAGCGTACTAAAACATAATGATAAAATGTATACCTATATAATATAATATTGTCATGTTAAAATTTTTTTAAATACCTGTTTATGTTGTCATTCACACACACACACACACATATATATATATATATATAATTTATTTATTTAAAAAAATATTATTTTATTTCGATTGGGAATTATGTAAAAAAAATATTTTTTAAAAAAATTAATAGATTTCAGAATAATGAGTGTTATTTTATAAAAGAATTACTTTTTATATTATGTCAGTACTGTATGTATTTAAGTATTTCTATTTCTGTAGTATCCTGAGCTTATTCTAAATGTAATTTTAAAAAGGTATACTTTACATTGTATGATTTTTCTCCGAATCTAAAGAATTTTTTAATGATTGCAAATAATATGCAAACATTAGTTTTTATTAATAACTTTTTAATCATATTATTTTTTATAGTATCGTTATTGGGCGGCTTCTTTTTTCACGCGTTGCATGCAAATTAATGTATATTCGCATACCTACATGTTTATTGTAAACTTAAATTATAGATTGTATGTTTTAAAATAAAGTTAAAAAATAATAATAATAAAATATTATTTTTATTTAAATTTGCAACAATTCATTCATAGATCGTAAAACTATTGAAAATAATATATTTTATACTAGTGAGCGATTATCCGTGTATATATTAATATATATTCATAATTGTAATTAAGTCTTGTTAAATAATGAATTATTATGATGAAAAATAAATCCACTACCTAAATTAACACGTATAAAATACACGCAAAATATAAAAAAAAGTTATTACGTATTATAAAAAAAAATTTAATATAATGTATTCTTAAGCGATTTAATATATTCAATATTTTATACTTTGAATAATATAATTAATAGGTATTAAAAATTGTGTATCGTTTGTTTCATAGCTATTGCGTGTACATTAATGTAGTATTCGTTTGTAGCCATTAAAATTTATTCGTATACCGTTGTAAACTCACAGTTGTTGAGAATAAAAATGTTCATACAATGACATTTTTATGGAACAAACGTATAGCTTGAAATAATAAAAAAAATTTCGGAGATTTGTTATTTTTCTTGACCACTAAAGTGTCGTTTACACAACATATATATATATACACATATATATTGCTTTATATATATATTTCGTTGAGAGTGTCCGCCCAAGTGCTTGTCATTAAAACTTGAGTCTGCTGACCGTATTTGATGGGCTTTAGGACACTCAGATATAATGCAAGCATTGTGTGTCTAAGTAACTTTATATTGCATGGACTATCTGAAGGAAAAATACGAATTTCTACAATGAATTGACAAAATGTGCCAAAGGTCGATATATCCTCTTAACCTAATCTTTTTTTTTCAGACCTTCAAAGATAAGCGTTCAAAAAAGACTTTTATAAAGGTTATCCTTTGTCACGAAGTTATGCTATTATTTTAGTTTTTCACTAAAATGGTTTAATTTCTCATTTTTATTTATTAATTATTTTTTTAGAAATTTAATGTAATATTAAAAAAAAAATCAATCAGTTAAGGATTTTATCCATACATAATGTATTCGCTTTTATATACTCATTGGCATATACATACCCTTAGTAATAGTATTAACTACCTACGTAATATTTGTACTTTGGAGATTATTAGACAATTTATTTCAATAATAAATTAGAAACGAAATATATTCAATATATATTATAAAAGTATATAAGTGTAATTACATATTTTTTTTTGTGCTGTATTATACAAGTATTAATGTTAAGCAGACTAAAACACATTAGTTGATAAGTTTCAATATATATTGTTAAAAACCATTTAGGTAATATCGTGTCATCATTCTGCGTAAGTTTACCTCATAAAGATAAAAAAATTTATAATTCTGTAATCATATATATTTTAATTGTTTTAATCGTTTATCTAAAGAAATTGTCATACTAAAAAACGATTGAATTTTATTAATTAAACTGATAAGCTTCTATCAAAAATATAAGAAATAATAGTATTTAAAGATTAAATTACATAATATAGATAATATTATATATGTATAACAATGCATAAATTATCATATAAAGGCTTCTTAAATACTTTATTCTATACCAGATTAGGTTATATCTTGTTGTGTAGATTGACGGTGATGATGAATTTGATTGAGGTGGATTTGAGATCCTAGCTGAGTGATGTAGCCAAAAATTCTTAAAGCATTGTATTTTTATTTGTCTTGGAAGTATAAGTTCTTGATAGTAATATATTTGATATAAATACTTTAAATTCATATTGATCACTGGAGTACTTACCCTATTTAGCAAAATTTATAAACCGTATAAAATTGATATATAG